TGGACTAGATGATCTCCAGAGGTCCTTTCCAACCCCATATCATTCTGCATGATCATTCTGTGATTCTGTGTTTATAAAGGGGGTTTGACCCCCTCAGATCACTAGCTTTGAATACTAGGGATAAATACACTGTCCTTAATGGAATTATGCTTGAATACAGTTGGAAGGAGTCTGTGGCGTGTACTTCAGATTCTCTGGTTCTGTTCAAATCTGTTCAGGAGGGGGCTTAAAAAAAAAAAAAGGGAAAAAATCAGGTCAAGTTTTTTGTTTATTTTTAAATTTCAGCAGCATTTTAATGAGCATTCAGTAGAATAGAGACCAACATACAGAGAATCTGTGTTTGCCTTTACAGCAGTTGGTGTCTTCCACAGCTTGGAGGTGGAGAACAAGTCCTGAGGGTTCAGACCGGTGTGGGTGCTGCAGGGGGCTGTGCTGGGAAAGTCATTGTACAGGTGCAGCAGCTGCTGTGGTTCAGCATCACAGATAGCAGTATTTGCTAACACCTGATTTCCAAGATGGGTTTAGTGCTACGTTGCTGCTGAGGTACCATCAAGCAGTGTTTGGTCATTCTAGCTTACCTTTGGGTCTGCTGAGACTATGTCAGATCACAGTTCTTGTAAGGTTCAAATATGCAGATGAAGGTAGATCTGGAAAGGACCTGAGCTAGATTCTGGTGTTGGCTGCTGTAACAACCACTACTATTGATTTGAGAGTAATTCTAACATGAGTATTTTGTCTGATTATTGAAAATCCATGGATATGTGTCAATCCCATCAAAGTCCAAACTTGGAAGACCTTCAGCACATGAATCCATGGCCTTATCTTCTCACCCAGCTGCTATCACAGCAAAACTGCAACATGACTCCCAGACACCCAGAACCCAAAGGTGAACTAAGTAGGTTATCAGTCAAAATATTCTACATAAAGTCATGTTTTTTTCTGAGTAGGGTGGAATATCTTCTCTCAGCTCTTCAATACTCCCTGTTTATAGGAGTGAGAAAACTAAAGGCTGTTCTGTTAGGAACATCAAGGCAATACAGCTGTAATGTGCCAGTGTGTTTTTTTTTTCTTGAACAAAATCAGCAAAACACTTGGCTAAGTTGCAATAATCAGATCTTCATTACTGGTCCTGCTTTCAGGAGACAGAGTGGATGTGGCTTGACCTTTTGCCTGACTCAGTCTGAATTTGCAGTAGTAACAGAAATCCTCTTTTCACTTCTAAGATAAATAGCAAAATTGATGTGAGAAAAGATAGGGAAAGAATAAGGTGCTGTTTCCATTCCATAAGAATGGAAATAAGGTGCTGGTTTTATAAAATAATTCTTCAGTGTTTAAATATCTCAGAGTTTAGGGACTTGTTATTGTAATTAAAACAAACAAGCAAACATAAAAGGCAGAAAACTACTTGACTTTTTAGTGCATACTGAGCTGAGAGTGGAAAAGGTCCTCAGCCCACAAATCCAGCAGGGAATATAAATGATTGATGGTAAAAGCTTAGATCATCCACTTTAAGTGTGATTGACAGATAGTGTTCCTGGCAAATGTCTGGAATTCAGCAAGCTGGGAATGAGAAATGCAAAGTACTGACAAACAAATGGCCATCTGCATTTCTCTAGCTTTTTAATCTTTCTTCAGAGAAAAGGTGAAATATATAAAGCCTGGAGTTATATATAAAGAGAGGCTTTTGACTCAGGTTCTCCAATGCAGCCAATAGACTTTGCCAACCACCTTCTGGCATGCTCAGAAGTCTCACCTTACTCTTCTTGCTTTCCAATTACAGATATTTTTGATAAAACAGCCATTTAATCTGCCCTCTTTCTTTTTTTCTTCCTTTTTCCTGAGTGATTGATCTTACTTTATGGAGAACATATAAATGAAGCGAGATGGTACACAGTTCCTTATCATGGATAAGAGGACAACTGTTCTAATCCAGTGCAGATACTCCTGAGTGGAATTTCTATTCCTGCTTACTATAAAGACTTCCTACTCCTCCTTTTTTCCCTCATTTTTCTATGAATGTCAAACACAAGGGTTTCTTAGAATCTGACAATCTAGATTGATACTTTTGGTATGCATCATTTAGAAAACACACTTGACGGAGACAAAGCAGTGTGGTGCTTGCACGTGTGCTGTGCTTTGGAAATCGAACTGTAACGTAGTATTGATTTTTCGACTAGATTACTGGCTGTTAACTCGATTAAATTCAAGGAAATTGTTAATGATAGAAAACAGTACAACTTTGAGGTTTAGCCTGGTTTGTTTCTTATAAACTAAAGCTTCTGTGATCTGACTCAGCTTGTGATTCATGTGTTGCTTTTCTCTGTTTGGTTTGGCTCCATGGGCACCCACCAGATGTAGCTCCTTCGTGTGCTGCTTTTGCCATGAATGGGAAGTGGCTCCCTGGGGTGGCAGGAAAATGCAAGAGGGGGAGTCTTGCAGGAGTCACGAATAGGAGCGGGAAATCAGAGTTGCTGCCACAGGTGAAGGATGCAGTTGTGTCTGTGTTACGTGAAAATCAGAACTAAATTTTAAAGAGTAAGACATACCTAACTTCTGCTGCATGTCATTTCGTATGTAGGCAAAGCCTCTCCATACTGTTTGCACTTGCACCTCCAGCTGTAGGACAGTAAAATAATTACTGTCATTTTAAGGCTGGAAAAGTTGTCTAGAGATGCTAAGAAATAGGCTTAGAAATGAGCTAGAATTCTTCTCCCTTATGCTTGGACTCCCAGCTTTAACTGTTACTCATCAGTGATGGCACATTTCAATACTTGATAGATTCCAGAGCGTTAATTAAAACAGTTGTTTAGCTAATTGCCTGGAAGATTGTGAGTAAAAGCATATTTATTCCAAAGGCAAACAATCCATTTTTACCCAGTGAAGCATATCAGTTTTTATGGTGCATAAAAATTGTTTCACTTCAATTTTGAATATATTGTGTGTTTGTCTGTCTAAAAGCCTTGTAGATGATGATCTATTTTAAGTGCCTGGAAGCTTTTTTCTTTGGCCATTTTTAATGTAGCTACTGAAAAAGCATATGTTTAAATAATTGAAAATGGGAAAAGTCATTGCCATTAAAATGAAAAGTTGCTTATGCACCGGCCTATTGGACTACCACCATGCTTACTGATATGCAGCCTTTGTAGTATTTCTGGATGTTGGCGCTGTCCTATGTAAAGAGACTAGAGATGGAAGAAAGGGTATCATTACGGTACCTTTGCCTTAACTTTGTGGGGAAAAATGTCCTTATGGAACAGCTGTTTTCAGTGTATATACACACTTAAAATTGAACACTGTGGAGGAGCATAGACTATATTTCTGAGACAAAACTCGTCCTGGCAGGTGGACTGCATAGGGCTGTTGTGGAAGACTGGGACCACGTCAGTGTGAACCACAGCTTATTGCACTACCATGTAGCCTACCATCAGGCTGACAGCTTCTCTTCAAAGATAAAATGCTTATCATCTAATGGAAGACATTATGTAATGATGGAATTACAACTCAAAGTCTGTGATGGGAGTTCTGGGTTTAATTTGGAAGTTTTCTTGATGATAGTTCTTTCTTTCATGATAGTTCTCTTGACTTTCGTATAGGCTTTCATACATGACTATTTGTTTAGGGAATGAAATCTAAAAGGGACCAGGTGAAGTCAATAAACTAATGTGTATTTTGATGCTTTGGCATTAAGAATTACTATGGGCAAAATATTATGTGTAAGACAATGGACCATCTGGTCCACACCTGCCACAACTTGATAAACATTGTGAATGCATTTCTTTGTTGTTTGTCCTAAAAGTGATATGCAGGGGTGATATTTCACCACAGCAGAGGTTTAGGAAAAAAAAACAACATTCAAAACAAGAATAGTGTAGTTATTCATTATCAAGATAAGAACTGAGTATTCGTATCTTGTTAGCATTATATGTTGGAAAACTGGGAAAAAATTACCATTACTCTGTACAGGAGCTTGTAACTTCTAAACACTCCTTTTTGCATCCAGCCTGAGCTGGAGTATAACCAGTGAAATCCTGACTGGGGGCTCCTCCTCAGTTAGATTTTGGTGTACTTTCCTTGTGTTGTAGTGCCCAGACTGGTGCAAATTTCCTCGTTTCAGTATTCCTCAGTAGCGATTTCACTGGCTGCCCCAAGCTCATAGAGACAGGCACATGGGAAGGTTGTAAGTAAATGGTCATGTTTTCTTTCTTCCAAGCTGTAACAGCTAAATATTCTTGCCTTGTCAGTATTATCTTTGTGATAAGTAAGCAGTACTCTTCTTGTTTTGGATTACATGGTTACCTTAAACCTCCGCTTTATTATATGGGGGCCCTCATGCACAACTACTGAAAGATTTTATTGAGACTCTTTACCAGCTGAAAAGCGTTAGAGTCACCAATTGAAATCTGCTCTTTTATACTGTTGAAAAGACAGACTTTTCTGATGATGACCTAGTGTACTAGGGCAAACTTACTTTAATACTGATGTATAGTAGTGTTTCGTTACAGCCTGTAACTGCACTGACGTATTATACAAGATGGTTTTATTGACACGATAGTGGGTAATTGTTAGCCAGATTAAGAAAACTCGACAATATTGATGTAAGAAACAAATCATTTGCGTGGCAGTTAAAAGAAGAAAGGGAAAAAGCGTTTCCTTTTAATTAATCTCCTTGAAAGGGATCAGAAAAGAACATGAACCAAGAATGAACCACTTTTCTTGATCTTTAGAGGAAGACCTTTACAGATATTTAAAGAAGACTTCTCACATGAAACACTCTTTGATCGTGGTTTATTATACAATTTTGCTGTGTTGTTGTAATTAACAAAAAGATAGTGAAAAAGGTTATCAATGAACTATTTCAAAGATTCTTTTTTTCCAGGCAGAATTTTTTTCTGACCACATAAAATAGAAGAACTTTGACTGCATGAATGAGATGTATGTTCCTTCTTATTTTTGATGGAAATAGTACTGTTACTGAAAGAAATGCTGCTACTTTTCCCTAGGTAAAGGAGACGTTTTTGGTGATGTGTTCTGGAAGGAGTCTACCCTCGCCCAGTCCTGTGCTAATGTAAGGGCTTTGACTTACTGTGATCTTCATGTGATTAAGAGAGATGCCTTGCAGAAAGTGCTGGAGTTCTATACAGCCTTTTCACACTCCTTCTCCAGAAATCTCATTTTGACCTACAACCTGAGAAAAAGGGTGAGTAGCTTTGATTTTAACATACACCATATAAACGCTTTTAAGGACTCTCTGTATGAAAAAAAAACAAACTGAATTGCTTGAATTCTGGCATTCTTCGTAGCCTCTTTTATAAGAAGGATTTTCAGAGCTTGCCTAAGAGACACTGCTAGCATGTAGAGTCAAAAGGCCATAAGTATTTATTCCAATGGTAAATAGTTTTATGGGGGGTTGGACTGTGTATATGTGAAAGTATTTTACATTTCTATGAAGGAGATTTCAATATATTTGTGAACTGTCATGCACTTGCGATAAACAGTGTTCGCTAATTCCTGCTACTTTAGTTTGTAAAGCAGCTAAAAAGATGCTAGGGGTGTTGCGTAAAGTTACCAGGAAAGTAGAAGGAAAGGTATGAAATCTAATATATGGAACAAAAGTCAACAACAGTAATCACAATGGAAAAGTAATATGAACATGACTCATTCTACCAAGAGTTGTTTTTTTTTAGTATCAGTCACATCTTGGAATTACTTTGCTTATCTATGTTTCCATTTTCTTACCCTTAATTTTTTGCCTCTTTTTGTTTCTTCCTCTATGCCAGTTCAAGTTATCCTGTCAAATGCAAATCATCATAACCTAATATCCCATTTTAAATTCTCTATGTAATCTTCACTGACGATTGTAGTTCTCCCTGGTAACTTCCAGGTGCCAAGTAATTGCACCTGAAAAGCTAGAAACCTTTTCATCTTTGAAGTCTGTTTTGTAAAATCAGACTTTAGGACTAATGCATCGACTTTTTTATATTTTTTTTGTACCTAGGGTTGGTATACTGAAACTAAAACAGTATGATGTGATGTTTTCTTTCTGCATATGTTACAGATATCAAAGAGTTCAACCCATTCTTTTTTGCCCTATACCGAAAAGCTATCCACAGTTTGGTCAAATAAATTGAAGCTCTCGCAGAAAATTGGTGTAATTAAAAACTAAGAAGGAAATTTATACTTGAGAATTTCCTCATAAGACTTTTTTTTTTTTTTTAATGACATTGAGTACCTGCAGGACAAGAAGATACACAGCTGTAAGAAGGTTACGAGAGATGTCCTGTTAAACATTAAGTTTAAAAAACAGCTACTTAACAATCATTAATTAATGTAAGAAATAAAAGAAATTAAATAATTTGGTACTGAGATCACCTAATGCATCAGTATCACTGACTGGCATATTTAAAATAACATGGTGGGTAATGTAGTAAAATGTTCTAAGAATATGTAACTACTTTTTTTTAAAATGTTAGTAGAAATAACAAATTTCGAGGCATAGAAGGACCAACTCTCTTAAAGCTCACAGTAAGGCTAGCAGAGTTGCATCATTTTGGATCTGCTCTGAGCCAAAAGTCCCAATTTTAGAATCAAATGCCTGCTTCAGAAGTTATTATCTTTTCCTCCATGTTCATCCACGTAACTTTTCACAGCCCAGGTTACAAAACACTTTTTAACCACACTATTATAATTCCTGGGTGTCAATTTTCTATACAAAATGTTCCTAGTGAAGGGTACATTTTGTGATAGCAATTTTCATCCAGTTATTCAAATAATTGGAATTTAATTGAGTTACAGTCGGCAGAAAAGTGGCATTGATTGATAATGGAAGTGCGAGGTTGATGGATCTAGGTTAACAGACTGTAATTTTATTTATTTTATTGAAAGAAGGCTGATTGCAATCAGAATGCAAATGGTAAATAATGTAAATAATATATGCTTTTGGAAATGCATAAAAGGTAAGATACTTTAGAGACTGAAGATACTGCACATTAAAAACCAACTTTTTAGAGTTTGGAATTTAATCTGGTATAAATATCTGCAAATCTCTTCTAGAAATAGCTCCCCAGCCTGTCGCTTCTAACACTTCTCCTGGTCTATTTCTGCAAATGGAATTTTGTAGAATTCAGATGAACTGGTACCTTCTGTGAGTTACGTTTGTGATGTATTGCATATCCTTCGGAATATAAATACCAGAATTACACTTTTCATTTCAATAAACAGTTTCATCTCTGGCTCCAAAAGTACTCAACTAGTTGAAGTGTAGATACTGTGTATTCATCCCAAATATATTCATACAGATTCCAAACACATGAAAAAGCATCTTTGGGGATTTATTTATGCCTGAAGGATCTCATGGGTATATTTTTAGACTTGGTTATTCCTCTGAGGTGTCCCCATCTCCAGGGTGCATATGCCTTCACTTGGCCACATGTAGAGTCTTACTGCATAGTGCAAGGAGCTTTCTGGCCAAGTTTTGCTCAGCTTCAGCTAGCTTTGGCATCGGTCCACTCTTTCACCATGTTCACATATTCCTTGGCTGCTGGGTCTCCTCCAGTGACCCCTTCCCTCGTGGAGATGGGACTCCCTGTCCCAAACCCTTCGGTGCCTGTGAGCAGTTCTGACCTTCTGGATGTCCCCCACATTTAATGGGGTCTGGGTCCACTTGCTAACGACCGTGACAGAAATAAGCAGACAGGCAGGAGCACTGTCAGATACTAAAACCAATTGGTCTCAGCCTTAGCTAATTCTAGAGCTGGATTTAGGCAAAGTGAAAAGTTTTCACTTTGTTTTCAAAAAGTGGAAAATCTTCACTCCATTCCTTGTGCCGCTCTTCCTACTGGTCTTGAATTTGCTTTGAGCTGAGCTGGGAGGGCAGGAGGCGTCTGTCTCTGTCCCCTTTATGCCCTCCCTAGAGCGGGGCTGCAGTTATGAAATCTTACTGCCCGTGACATCTGAGGACTTCGTGGCCAAGGGAGACGCTTCCAGTGCTCTGTCCCTGGCACACTGTGTCTGTCCGAGTCTGTGCTGTGAAAACAGTTTCCTTTCACTCACTTTCTCGACAAACATGGGTGAAATACCCTGCTTTCTAAAACTGTCAGCTTACTGTCAGGTAACCCCCTGAGCAGTTTCCTCAAGCGACTAAAATCCCTCCTGAAGGTATTAGCTGTCTAGTTACCTCTGGCTGGAGCTCAGACTTAGAAAACTAAGAAATTTAGTTTTCTAGAAAACTTAAAAAGCCTAATTTTTTCCTAAAGGGGAAGAGAGAGGAGACCTTATAATTAACTCTTTCTGCTATTGGTTATTGAAATTTTCATCTAACTGGAAGCAGGAGGGGAATCAGCTGCAGCAACTCTCTCCCCAACATCTGAAGAAACTGGAACTGCAGTGTGTGGCTGCTGGTGGCTGTATGGCAGGCTCAAGGGCTTTGCAGCTAAAAGGAAGCTGACAGAGGATTTCTCTGAGCACTTCCTTCTGTAACGCCATTGTAAAATTAAAACATGTAAACTTGATGTTTCTCTCCATTTCTGGAATCCCAGAGAGGAACCAGAGTGTAGACACTGAGAGTATGTGGGATGGTCAAGTGACAAACTCTCCCTTATGGAGACTGTGCTAGAAGAAAGAGGAATATTGCGGGTTTGGAGGGCAGCAAGATTCACAGGCTGTATGGAGGTCTATTTTTCCCCAACAAATATTTAAACATTTTGAGTTTCCAGCCTGAGATTCATAGCTCCTGGATAGTAGAAGCGTAAGAAGAGAGAAGCTTGCATGATAGCTACTTGTCGTTGTTTTTTGCTTGTGATAAGGTGCAAGTTTGCTGGCACCTTCTTTAGGAATGTGAAGGGCCTTTGGCAGTGCTTGCAAGTGCTCTGGTTTTGGCAGATGTTTCTTTCTCTGTGTATGAGCTTTGTGACCAATATTAACTTACACTGGGTTGTGTATTCGTGCAGTTCATTCTGCTGCAGCCATAAATGATATTACTGCTCAAATGATCGCACACGCTACATAAAAGAGAGAATTCTTATACATAATTTATTAGGCTGAGATTTCCCTAGTAAGCCATTTTAGCCTGGATAGAGATTAAATGACTAATTCTGAATGCTTTGGAGTATCATGCTAGAAAGTGCAAGTAGCTTTTCCAGAAACTGAAATTTGTGTCCTGGAATAAAAGAAGGAATGCAGTAGGATGTAGACGTTTTATTTGGGATTTTGTAAGACTGAAAGAAATGGCAAAGAACACTCTGCATTTTTACAAAGCAAACATGATTTAGTGATTTAAAGCCAAAGCTCCTAGTCAGAACATATTTCTTGAGAGAGCAGTGATTGCAGCAGAGTGGTTTGTCTCTCTGCCTCTATAAGATTGCTTGCCTTTGTACACGTAGTGGTGTGATTATTCTATGCCATTCCAACTGTGCCAGTGGACAAAGCTCCCACCGCCTCTTTCTAAAAGCAATTTTAAAATATAATTGTGCTTTCTTCTTCAGCATTAGCTTCACCTTTCTTCTTTTTACACTGCAGCTAGAGAGAGAGAGAACCTCTCTCAGATCAAACATTTCAGCTAGGAGTGCTCTGAGTCTTGATTTTAAGTCTCACGGGAGTTAGCAGCAGGTTGTTTTCAGAGAGGCAATCCATGGCCTTGTATTCTGCCTTTCCACATGACAAGTTTTCCAATTCTTTTTTGTGATATAGGTTCAAAATTGTATGCCAGAATTCTTTCTGATATGGAAGGCTGAATTGCTGGAATATTTTAACAAAGCTCTCTTAAAACGAGAAGAGTGAAAGGTTTTAATTTTAATTGGCCCATATGATGATGGATTTCGTAATGATCAAACTGACAGCCTGCTGCTTTCTCCTGCATTTGTACTCACCAAAACAATCCACAAGTCCTGTGGGAAGAGGAGTTTGATGGTTGACTGGCATGTGTCCTACAGCACTGAAGACCCAGGAGAGTGGATATGGCTGAGGCATCTGGGTGGGTCTGTGGTTTGGGAGATATGCAGTATTTGCTGGCCAGGAGGCAAAGTGGTTATTTTCCAAAAAACTTTCCAAATGTAAATAAACACTTAAATACTCAAATCTGTTCTTTCCAATGCTGCCTTTTAAGAAGTGTTCAGGTAGTTGAACATTCTTATATTCCCTGTTTCTCCATGCCAATCTAAGCAAAATGTATTTTAGTCAGTTTCCTCATTGGTAGATTCCATA